CGACATTGGGTCCAAGAAGTTGCATACTTTTGGCATTCATTATGAATTTGACAAAGAATACTGATGTTAAGTAGAACAAACCTGGGGAACTAAGTGCTGCATTGCCCATTCAGGACCAAACTCCTCTGCGAGGCGCTTTAGATTGTTTGCTGCAGCTTCACGGATAGAGTAGACCTGAATGAGGAGAACAGTGTCAATACCCAGAATCACAAGTAGATGATAAATTATGCCAACATAAAAGATTCAAAATCAAGGTCAACCTTGTCTTGCAGCCACTGCATGCAAAGGGCTCCGAGCTTATCATCGAAAAACCCTATGCCTAACTGGCTGGCCAACAGAGGAACGTACTCTATTATCGCAAGCCGGACTCTCCAGTGCCGATCCTCAGCAAGCTCTACAATCGCCGGCAACAAGGATTGTGATAGTAGATCAATTCCAATGACCTGCAGTAAAAGATACTCATTTACCAGTTAATATAAGTAGCTAAATCTAAAGCAGACACGAAAGATGCAACAAACCTGGTTGACTTGATCTAGCTTGCTTATGATGTTGAGGCGTACATCAGGAAATTCGTCTTTCAAAAGGGAAAGAAAAATTGGTAGTAGATGCTCAATGGTTGAGTCCTGTATAGAATATTTTAGTATGTTATATTATCACTGATAGGGTTTGCAATATCATTTGGCACAACAGGTAGAACCGAGCCATAATACATGGTGTAACTGATATTGTTGATGGAAACCTTTAGAGCAAATTAAAACCAAAACAGTCACAAGACGGAAAGATGTTGGCTAATTCCAGTTCATACCTTCCCAAGAATAGGAGCCATTCCCATTATTACTGAAGCTAAAGCAGAGCGGACATGTTGAGAAGAATCGGATGATAATTCCTGCCAGACACGAGTTCGAATCAGAATATGACAAGAAAAGGGAACATCAACCCATGTCTGTTTTATACGGATTTTAAGAAAATTATGAGCTGAGAGAATGTACCTTCACGCAAGGAAGGATGTGCTGAATTGCAAGCTCTGGATTCAAAAGCCGACAGAACTTAGTCACTTTTCCCGCTGCTGCTATTCGCACTTCAGCCTCATTGTCCCGTAGCAATCTAACATATGCTGGAACCAAATCCGTCCTAGAGATAGAACAACATAAACTTTGTGTCAAAATAATAAGATACATGTACAAAACTAAAGCTATCATCCAAGGCTCTGATATGTATGAAAAAGAAAATAAAGAAAACTTCCAATAAAGTCTCTTAGATGTATACATGCTTGCTGGTCACAAAATTGTTTTACAAGAAAGAAAGCCTAGATCTAGCAAGGATGACAAAAAGAAAAAACCCCACAGTGTCTCACTGCACATACCTTGTGCTATCAGGACCGACTGCCTCACAAAGTTCATATAGCTGATTAGCAACCATGTAGCGCACCCTCCAAGATTTATCCTGCTCTCAGAAAACAGACCATATATCATCAAAAACTATTAGGACAACAAACTTTTACCCATGGAAACTACAAATGCAATAGCAGAGATAAAAATATATGATCTAGAGGCAACAGTTACTCGAAAAAGCCATGAATGCAAAAACAAAGCTCAATTCACCTGCGAGAAATTAACAATAACAGGTAAAATGCGTGCAACACAATCCTGAGGTTCCAACAACTTCCCAAGAGCTGCACAGCCTTCGACAGCCAAAAGTCTAACAGAATCTTGGTCTGAAATGAAGGATACAAAATAAACAATATGAGAACGGATAAGAGACAAACATTTCTAAAGAGGTACATATCCACTATAAAAGATTCAAGATTTCTTCATCAACCCTTGCTAATTAGTTTAAAATGTGATCTATTTACCACCATGCTCTTGGGATCTATGCAAACCGTTTCAAAGTGATGAGCATGGGTGCTAAGATATAGATATTTTAAGCATGTAAGTACCATCTTTAGTAAGATCATCGAACATAGTCATGATCTCAGTGTTCAAATAGCTTGACTCCACCGTGGTAGCAAATTTCCCTAGGTTAGATGCAGCAGCTCTTCGCACCATTGGCATATCATCTTGACACAACAGGCTATAGGTAGCACGTAACTCTGTCTTCAGCACATCAGTGCAACCTTGGTAGGCAACATGAAATAGACCACATGCCGAAACTCTTGCTGCAAACCATTCACCAGCTGCGAGTCTCTACAAGATAGAGAAACGTATAAAAAAGATAAGCCTTGATTGAACAAAATGGAGTGAACTAGCAAAAGAACGTAATTTCCTGTCTCATCATCTAACCTTGAGAAGAGGAACAAAGGAGTCGACAAGGTCATTTTCTCTCATTTGAGATCCAATCTTGCAAAGCGAGTCTACAGCTTTTTCTCTGACACAGGTCTCTTCAACAGCGCAGAGAGATTCCAGAGGAGGGAGAAGAACATGGGCATGCTCAATTCCTCCGACATATGGAATAAAAACACCCAATTCCTCAGCCATTGCAAGGAGAACCTCATCGTCATCGTCACTGTTTTCGCTCAGAAAAGGGATTAATTCCTTCCTTGTGCGTTCCTCTCCAAGGGCACGAGCTATTGTAGATAGGCGACGGATCGAGTTCAACCGTAGCTGAATATCATCATTCTTAAGCTCATCTATGAGCACTGCAATGGGATACAAGGGTTCCTCTACCATGGCCATTTTAACCCCACCTTGTGCGAAGTTTGATCAAGACACTGCAGTGACAAAAAAAAAACACCCAAATAATTCTTGTGAGAAGAACTTGAAAAGGGTAAACCCATTACTGCAATTTCCCAGGTCAGAGCTAATCGGTAACATCGAAAGTATTATTAGGTTAA